GTTTGTGTGGGTGTGTGTTTGTTTGTGTGTGTGTGTGTGTGTGTGTGTGTAAATGTAACACAACCTCCTTTGGGAGCCAAGACACACACTGAGACACACCCATGCAAGCTGGCCTGTGTTTGCAGAATGCCTGTGTGGGGCGGAGAAAAGGTTAACAAAGGGTGAAAATTTTGAAATTTGGCTTCCCTCTCCCCACCTCCCAGCCGGTGGGATGGACGAATGGGATCCTCCTGGGCCCTCCATCCGCATCCACATCTGCCCCCCAACTCCCACCCCTACTCCCTGGCCCTCGCAACCACCTTTTATCCCCAAAAGGGCCTTTTTTGTTGACGGGCGAAGGCTGTTTTGTAGAGCCTCCCTTACAGAATAGACTTCTCTCGACTCCCAGTGCTGGTCAGGTGTTCGCCTCCAGGCCCTGTCCATCAAAACACACACACACACACACACATACATGGCCCTCATATGGCCAAGAAAGAGGGTGATGGGAACTGGAACAGAAAAAAAACTATTAAATCATAGTCTGTTTTTTTTCTGCAGAAAAAAAATATATATCTGCCAGTTGCACTGGGGCAGGAAAAGGAAGTTTGGGTGGAGCTAGGCCTAGCTGAGGTCAAGGCCATCCCGTTTGAGGCCTTTCCTCCTAGGCGAGCCAAAGTTCGGTGTCTGCAAAGTGTGTGTTGCTCCTATAGTGCTCCCAGATTGGGACGTTATGGGGTTTGTAGTCCAAGAAATCAAATACATGACACACACCAGGCCTCCTCCTCAACCAACCAACCAACCAACCAACCCACCAACCAACCAACCAACCAACCCACCAACCAACCAACCAACCAACCCACCAACCAACCAACCAACCAACCCACCAACCAACCAACCAACCAACCAATCAATTAAAAATAGAAAGAGTTTTACAGCAGAAACGACAAATCATTCTGTGTCACCTTAAAGTCTTGCACATCTTATTGTCTGGCACACATTTTTGTGAGGGAGAGATCTGCGGGCCACGAACGTTTGCGCCATATAAAACTTGAGAAGGGCCTTTGAAGTCCCTACAAAATGCTTCAAGGTGCCACCAACTAGAGATTCCCAGGGCCAATCCTGCTGGAAATTTCAGTGTATTGGGGGTGTGTGTGAAAATGTGGGTCCCATGGGAGGGATTCTGTTTATGGGTGTGAGCAGGCATGCACCAAAGGGGATATGGGAGCAGCTAGAAAAAGGAGGGGTTCCCCACATGGATGAATGGTCCTTTCAGACAGCCCCATCACAAAAGCTTTCTGAGAAACACAGAGAACGTTTAAAAATTAAATAAATGAAATACAACATGCAAAACCCAAATGGTTCACCGGGCACAGTGCCAAATAAAAGCCAAGCCTGTTTTGTTTCCACCCCTTGGTTTGTGTTTTTTTTTTCCTAAAGCCAAAACTGGTCTCCCAGAGCCCATCGTGAAATAAAGCATCTCCCAACATGGGTTGGTAGCCTCTGGGCATATATAGAGAGAGCGTTTTCCTGTCCTTTGGCAGCTGCAGACATCAGCTATACTTTGGGAGAGAGGCAAGGCATCCATGCCAACGTTTCCAATTCATTATCATTATCGTCAACGGCAGAGCTGGAAGGGACCCGGGAGATCATCCAGTCCAGCCTCTGTCAAGGAATTCATTATCATTATCATCAATGGCAGAGCTGGAAGGGATCCGGGAGATCATCCAGTCCAGCCTCTGTCAAGGAGCCCACTTGTGGGGGGGATTCAAACTCCCAACCTCTGGCTCGGCAGCCTGAGACCATCTCTCGTGGTGACAGTGGGGCTGGAGGTGATCCTGAGCGGGTTATCCGTGGGGAGGCGAAGCTCGGCTGGGGGCTCTTGCATGACCCGGAAAGGTCGCTCTCCAAGGTCCTGAATTTTGCCATTAAACTGGGGTCCTCATTTTGGAGGATTCGTTCCTTGGAATGAAACCTGGGACAGCCTTCCTAACCCATGAGGCCGCCTGTCCACATGGCACTGAGTGTACAAACCCTGCTTCGTTCGGCATCCGGATAGCTCCGTCGTTCAGTCATGGTCGGGAGTTCGATTCCCCGCTGGGCCTTCTTGGCCGGACTGGATTTGATCATCTATTGAGTCCGTTCCTGCTCTAGCCATTCTAAGATGATCCTTATTAAACCGGGACTATTGGCGTGTATCTTAATGCCCGGACAGGCTCATAGATGGAGCTGCGGTCTTTCGGTTGGCTTACACCCAAGCTTTTTAGGGCTTTATAGGTTAAAACCTACTAGAGCAGGTCTATTGAATCAATAGGTTTTTTTTTTTTTGCAGTAATACACAACGGCCACTTCTCTAGAAAGAGATTTTTTTTTTTTTTGCAGTAATACACAACAGCCACTTCTCTAGAAAGAGATTTTTTTTTGCTTTGTTCCTTCCACGGCTTAGGACAAGTTCCAGAGACATCCGCCTGCTGCGTTTCCACAGGCCTGTTCCCCACCCCCCCTTCCCGTAGTTTCCTTCTGAAACACCTCGGCTGAAGAAAAGACGCTTGCACTCTTTATGGTGCCAGTTGGGTGGGCCAGAATACAAGGATTCCCACAGTCAGGGACGGATTCTTGCCAGCCAACGGGTGATTTTTATTATTATTTTTTTGCAAGTCCTCTGGAACAACAGGGCTCGGCGCATATAAACAGTGGCGAGAAAGCCACTTTTAAAGCTCCTTCCAACACGCTTCGGCTTCAAGGAGGAAGGGACGAGAAAAGGAAGGAGGGAAAGAAACAAAGACGGGAGGGTGATCTTTGGGGGCCATTCCCCCCGCCTTTAAATTTGATGGAGAACACTGAGATCCTAACCTTTTATCTGTAACACACGCACACGGACACACTGTTTTCCCATCGCATCTTGTCTTTTTTCCTCCTCTCCCTCCACAAATAAGTCCATTAGGAAGGAAGGACGCCTTGCGAATGGCAGCTTCAGAGCCATCCATATGGAAGTCCTTATTTATTTATTCTTATTATTTATTCATTACACGCCTACTTTGCCTTCCCGCGCCTAGGCTGGCCGCTCCGAAAGACGCAACGGAAACGGAAGGGTCGCAACCAAATCCGCCGCGGGACCGTCGAAACGAAGCCCAACCCCCACCCACCCCCATCCCGCAGACACACAGAGAGACACACACCGCTGTTGACCATCCTTGAAGTTGGCCAACAGTCAAAAAGAGGACCGTACACGAAAACAGTCTCGTAAGCGAACCTGGGACGTGGGGGGAGCCGGTTCCAGATTTAGAAGTCCTCTTGTGCTATTATCTGTGTGTTTTAAATTTTAATTGGAATGGTGGCAGGTTCTTATGGGCGCAGAGCACTAATGGGCCATTAACTAACTAACTAACTAACTAACTAACTAACTAACTAACTAACTAACTAACTAACTAACTAAGTAAACAAACAAACAAACAAACAAATAAATAAATATAGTTAGTTATTGTGAGTCCTGTCTCCCTACCATCTTCGCTTGTGACTTTCACATCCAGTGGCAGCGAATTCCACAGGTTTAACAAAGCTTGAAACCCTGTCGTTTGCTCACGCTCCGTAGA